TACTGGACCAAAGAATTCATAGGGGGTCAGGACTGGCATACAAAATCAGGGGATTCATGTAAGGGCGAAGGACTTTGGGTTATGTGTAAGTATGGTGGACATCAGTGAAGGCTCCTCACCTGTTAGGGTTCACATTGACCAAATGACAGAGGGTTTCGAAATAGTGAGAGTGAGTGAGTGGAATAGAGACTGTTGTGTAGTGTGACCTGAATAAAACGATATGTTTTAATTTATTTGTTTTTATTTCTGTACTGCATGAACATGTGTAAGTTGTTTCTGCAAGCAAAATATACTCATCTTTATCTGCATGGACAGGAAAGAACTAAGGGAGTATTGACAGATAATGGGAAAAGAGGGAAAGTGGAAAATGGCCTAATTACGTGTATTATTCTTACGACGCTTTTAAGGGGGACTAAATTTATCCGCAGCACTCCCATGTTGTGCTTCAGGTAAGTTATGAGCTACTGCAGCAGGTTTAGGCATTGATGGTTTAGGACAGGCTTTGTGCTTACAATTGTCAGGACAAAATTCCCATATCCTATCATAAAGATACCATTGCCTATCTGCCATTCGCCCTGTTGGTGGCATTACAGGTGGCATAGAGCTGGGAGGACTGATGCTGGTACCCCTAAGGAATCTGACTGACTTGGGTGTTTCAGCGCATGTTGCTTGTCTTAACAAGTCTCCTCCCTCAGTAATTGCTCCTCAGAGGTGAAATGGTGGCTCTTTTTCATGTCTGATACATTTAAAAAGGGGTTCAAAAACCCAGCCCTGTGAAAAGACTGGACTATTACCCGACCTTCTGCTGTTCCTACCAGTTGAGGAACATTCACCAACATCAGTCTTCCAAAAGCATCTCTTGATCAACCCGAAGCACCTGCAAGTAGAGAAGTTCGTACGGCCTTCAGGGAAAAAAGATATTTTTATGGACCTATTTCTGTCTGTCAATACTCTCCAGGCCAGATATTGCATTAATGCATTGTTTTTGTTCTGGCCTGTACAGTTATCAGCATTCAGATGAACTGTGATGGCTTTGATACCATAGTTTTCTAGGTAGTGATGAAGGTAACTGATAATTGTATTGGCTCCTTTTCCAGTGTCCACGCATACGTCAACTATGTGACCTGCTTAGGGAAGGCTTCACAGCTGACCCAAATAGGCCACATTTCCTTGGCGTAAGAAAGTAAATAGGCCCTGGTTGCTGTGGGTCACTTGGATCGTGAACCTAGCATATTAAAATCACAATAATTAAATTTTATACTTATACTTTTTAGGTACCTGCTGTGCATACAAAACTGTAATAGATTTCCAGTAATGAATAACAGGTCTTTGTACTAACACATTCAATCTCTTCACTGACCCACTCACTCTATTCAGTATTGTTTGAAATTGTTTTCTCTCCTTTGTCACAAGGTCAACATGTTCCCTTGACTTTTCAAGCACCTGAAGTTATTAAGAGGTTAGTTTTTATCATGGATCACCATAATGTTTACATCAGATTGTCTCTCCACGGATGTGTTAGAGCTCCTCACTAATGCCCTGCTGTTCTTCCTACATGTCGAGCAGAGGTTCGTTATTGGCTTCATTATGTGAATGTGAGAAACATACAACTTCCAAGCCAACTTAAACACTGACTCAGAAGGTACCCATTCCTGTTCATCGCAAGATGCCTCGTACATTCCATGAATCTGCCTTTTGGACATACTTGACTGAAGAAGTTTAGCCTTCTTATAATCCCTTACCCCTTGTGTTCTGTTTGGCAAAAGTATGCCATGTTCCTAAGCAAGGCTCTATTTTTTTGATGTCTTTGTCAGCTAATGCATTGTTTGGTTTACAACCTGTGTTTCCATCAATTCTGTGGCAGTGTTAAGAGCAAGTAATTTTTTTAATTATTTGTTGCATGTACCATGGCTTCTGCCCTCAGTCATGACATGCCTCTTCAAAGCCTTGAGCCTGTTATGCACAATGCCATGAATGAACATAAAGAACTTGACACATATCGTGTAAAATTGTAAGTTATTTAGTTGTAACAATTGTTGTTTACTTTCACCATCCCATGATAGCAACAATTCTGCTACTGTTTCCTCTCCCTTCTGGTCTTCCTGTTTGTGCTAGTTGTAGCACTTACATTGGTCAGGCCATTAGCTGTCCCTTTACCACCAAATTTAATTGATCCTTAGTTAATTCTTCCATATCCCACCTCACTCTCCTTATATAATCATCATCAAACTGCTCATAACACTTGTTGCCACAACACCCTTTCCTAAAAATTCATCAAAACTCTCTCTGTTTCTAATATTTACTTTTTTCTCCTCTATTCTTATAGGCTGTGCTTCTTCATCCAATGGCTCCTTGTCCATTTGCTGCTGGTACTCCTACTGGTCTTCTGCTCCTGCATCCAGCTGCAAAACCTGCAGGTGGGAGGCTTTCGTCAGCATCATTTTTATGATCGGAGTCAGAGAAGAAGGTGTCATTTCACATCTTCAGAGTCTTCATCATCAGTGTCATTAATGTTGTTGTCTAGCATTTTATAATTGGCCCTGCCTGTGCGAGGTATAGGTAGTTGTGTGTGTCTGTCATTCATTCATTCATTCATTCATTCTGTACAACTGAAATTTGTCTTTAATAAACAATAACTTTAGCACAGCGTGTTCTAAGTTTCTAGATCTTTCTTTTTGACTTAGAAAAGTCTTTCTTAACAGTTTTGTGTTGCTCAACTACAAGTGCTAGGTACAGAAGCTTCAACGAAAGAAAATCGAGTAGCTGGGCCAAGTTCCATTGTGTTGACACTTTAGAGACAGTTGGTAGCATTTTTCAGTAGATTAGAACATAGCCTTCAAATAATATGAACAGATTTCTCTAAATCTTACTTGATCAAGAGTTATACTTACTTGAAATTGCTGAGGTCACTCGTTTGTGAAGTGCTAGAGCAACAACTTGCTGGGTTATAGGTACTAAAGTACCTATACTATCTCAAATATACAAAAGCAGCAACTTTTGTGTGAGCAAATTTCTCATACACATGTATATTGCTGATTAGTAAAAAAAAGTGAAGCTTCTTTCTCACATGGTCTTCTTGCTGCCAATAATTCCATTTATAATGGAATGCCACACCTTTCAATCTACATGCATGGGAGTGGCTGGAGCTGCTTGCATGTATGTGCTGCAGTGCTGCTCTTCTGAAGGTATTCAAGAACGAGTGCAACTGCAGGAAGCTAGTGTTGAGCAGACTCTCTTCATGCTGATAATTAAACTGCTTTGGCAGTGCGGGCAGGCAACATAGTAGCTATAGGGGCAAGGTCCTGCACCATAGGTGTCTCGTTATAGTAGTGTTTGATTTTACGATAATAATAATAGCAGTAGTAATAATAGTCAGTGTTTAACTTGTGAGTAGATTTTATTTACCATCTGTCACTTCACAGAAGTAATTTGCCACTCTTTCTCGAATATCTGCATTGTTAAGAGCCTCAGGACCTTTATTAAGGAGTATAGGTTGCTCATAGTGGCGTCTTTGGTACCAAACGGTAGCTAAAGACTTATATAATGTGTTTATCAAATAAAAAGTTATTAGTTAAAAAAGTTGTGAACAAGTTTGTGGTCAATTATCTCAATAGTTACTAACACCACCATCTTGACCATTTTTGCGTGCTAGGCCACATTTTAATCAGGTAAATTTTTGCTCAAAGTTGCTGTTATTCAGAAATTGTCTATTTATCAGCTTCAAGTTGTTCAGATTTTGAATAACTATAGTCATATTCATGAACCATTCATTGGCAATGAACATCATTTTATGAGCAACCTATTAGCAAGTGCAGTCATAGAGGATCCGTTCACAATTGTGTAGCGCATACGTGTAGACTGAATGCAGTGGAGATGTCATAAAGAAGGCTAGAAGTAGTGTTGTTTTAGTATGAAACAATAATTTTAGTTTTAGTTTTCTACTTTTAGTTTTTCCATTTTAGTTTTAGTAACCCACTAGTAATAATTTTAGTTTTAGTAACCCATTAGTAATAATTTTAGTTTTAGTCATTGTTATTACTTGTAAAATGTATTTCAGTTTTAGTTTTAGTTCTATTCCAATCCTTCTAATTTTAGCTTCATTAACCAAATTCTTTTTTTAAATGTAAAAACAATTAAGCAATTATTCACAAATCATCAAAACTCATAGTTATCACTTTTGTTCTTTCTTAAGAAAACTTCTCATTCTAAATTTTTATAAGCAAGGTGATTGCGCTTAGCAGTTGTTGCATTACCAGCTACAGAAAATATCCATTCAGCAAGAGTAGAAGACCTTGGTACCATCATCTACTTTCGAGAGATGTATATAAATTTCTTGCTGTAGCAGCCAAAACAGAAACCAAGTGCATTCATTACCTAGTGACTCAGTTCTGCAGCAACTAGATGTATTTGTACGTCTCTTCCAGTGGCATGTTTTTCTATTAACTTAGTAATATAACAAAACGTTATGCTTGCAGGTTCTTCCTCTATGTCCTTTTAAGTAGATGCAGTCTGAGTGGGAGACATGGCTCAGCTTCATGGATTTGATCAAGCATAAAAATTCGACAAGCTGCAACTTCACTAGCATTTAGCAACAATTTATATCTTGCTGTAAAAAGCTGATACCTTCCCAAGCATTTCATTTCCTGTTCTAAAGTACTAAAAGCAGTAGCTAAATTTTAATTCTTTTCATGTCTTAAATGTGCATATTTATTTCCACTATGACAGGTGTCACAGCGGAAATAGTGGTGTAGTTTTCAGCAATTAATGCAGTATACTCTGCAAGTGGCTCTAGTAACTGATGTATTTTGCAAGGTTTTTCAATCACTAATACAAATTGTAATACATATGTGTATATTGCTTAATTAGTATTATTACTGTTTATCTAAAGTGGTTAATATAGTATATTTTATGTAATCATAGTAACAGGATATTTTCTATATAAACAGTTGTGCTGCTTATCATTTATCTTTCTTTTGTTTTCACAGTTTCTCTGATATTTATCTAATTGCTGTAACCATCGAATATATTACTATTAACCTTCCATTGAAACCTTTGTTTATTGTACATGGTGTCAGAAGTGGGATTCGATGGCTACGTTCAGACTGCAACCTCCAGCTCCTTTCTCCTTCAAAAGCCCAGACGAATGGCCCAGGTGGAAAAAACGCTTTGAACAGTTCAGAGCTGCATCGGGTCTTAATGAGGAGGCTGGAGAGAAGCAAGTTAGTACTCTCCTGTATGCTATGGGGGAGGATGCAGAAGACACTCTCGCGTCCATGAATCCTTCAGCAGATCAGAGGAAAGACTATGGAGAGGTGATAAAGAAGTTTGATGACTTCTTCAAAGTTAGAAAGAACGTCATCTTCGAACGCGCCCGTTTTAATAAGAGATGTCAGGGTAGTGACGAATCTGTCGAGCAGTTTATTACTAGCTTGTATAGTCTGGCAGATGGCTGTGACTATGGGGAGTTCAGAGAGACCATGATACGAGATAGAATAGTAGTGGGTATTCGAGACAAAGTATTATCAGAAAGCTTGCAAATGGATGCCAAGCTAACACTGGACGATGCGAAAAGGAGAGCTCGTCAAAGAGAGGCCGTCAGTGGACAGCAGGGCGTGATACAAGATAAGTCCTCGGACGTTAAAGTGGAACATATCAAGGGTAAGAAGAATCCTCCACCAAAGCCTGGAGCCCGATATAGGAGCAGAGCTGTGGAATCTCGAGGACAACCTAAGGATAACGGTCGAAGCTCTCCGGCGAGATGTACTCGGTGTGGACGAGGGAAGCACGCTCGACATGAATGCCCTGCCAGAGAAGCCGTGTGTCACTTGTGTAAAAAACGAGGACACTTTCAAGCACAATGCTTCCATGCCGCCCGAAATAAACAGCAGTCCTCGAGCAAGGTAGGAGCTGTCACTGGTTCGGATGAAGAAGACCTCATTTATTTAAACACTATTGTTACTGTAGACGCAATTAATGGCAGTACATGGCTCGACAAGATTACAATTAATAACACAGAAACAGTATTTAAGATAGATACTGGAGCAGAGGTCACAGTAATTACTGAAGAGGTACTAAAGAGTTTGGGCTGCAGACACAAGTTACTAAAACCTGACAGAGTTCTATGTGGTCCTGATGGTAGCAGATTGCCAGTAGTGGGACAAATTGATGTAAAGCTGTCGTATAAAGATCGAGAAACCGTGCAGACTGCTTACGTGCTGAGGAATCTCAAACTTAGCCTCCTAGGACTACCGGCTATCAGGGAGCTACGGTTCATATCGCAAGTGAATGGAGTCGATGAGCAGTCAGTCAAGGAGCAGTACCCGTCACTATTTGAAGGATTGGGCACATTCAAACGTGAGTACGAAATCAAATTGAAGCATGATGCACAACCACACACACTGTACACTGCACGCACTGTCTCACTACCATTACGTAAGAAGGTGAAGGAAGAATTAGATCGAATGGAGGGCCTTGGGGTAATTACCAAAATTGAGCAGCCTACGGAATGGTGTTCAGGCATGGTAGTGGTACCAAAGAAGTCTGGCTCAGTCCGTATATGTGTAGATTTTAGAGCTTTAAACGAAAGCGTATTAAGAGAAGTGCATCCCCTTCCCACTGTGGATGAGACACTAGCTCATTTGAATGGTGCCAGTGTATTTAGCAAGCTAGATGCCAACAGTGGGTTCTGGCAGATCCCCCTGGCAGAGAATTCTAAGCATCTCACTACATTTATCACACCCTATGGCAGATATTGCTTTAATAAGCTGCCATTTGGCATAAGCAGTGCCCCTGAGTATTTCCAACGCTGCATGACCGAGATTTTAACAGGCCAGGAGGGAGTCCTTTGTCACATTGATGATATAATAATATTTGGGAAAAATCAAAAAGAGCATGATAGCAGATTACATGCAGCACTGAAGAAAATTCAGGCTGCTGGGGTTACATTGAATGAGAAAAAGTGTGAGTTTAATAAAAGCTAGATTTTGTTTCTAGGCCACATCATCAATCATAGGGGCATCTCTGCTGATCCATCCAAAACGTCAGCTATTGTAGAGATGAAGCAGCCAACTTCTTTGAGTGAGCTGAGGAGGTTCATGGGTATGGTGAACCAACTAGGAAAATTCACCCCTCATTTGGCAGAGCTGGCACAGCCCCTGAGAGAGCTACTTAGCACTAAAAACGCTTGGGTCTGGGGACCCTCTCAGGAAGAAGCATTTCAAAACATCAAAGATGAAATGGTTAAGCCCACAATGCTATCAATCTATCATCCAGATGCTCCAACCAAGGTCAGTAGTGATGCTTCAGCATTTGGATTAGGAGCCGTATTACTACAGCAGCAGGCTGAGGAGAGGTGGAAACCAGTGGCATATGCATCAAGATTTATGAGTGAGACAGAGCAAAGGTATTCTGAAATAGAGAAGGACGCTCTTGGAATAGTTTTGGCATGTCACAAGTTCAGAGATTACATTCTAGGGAAGCATATCTGTATTGAAACAGATCACAAGCCACTGGTTCCTCTCCTTGGAAAGACGAGTCTTGCTAATCTACCTCCTCGAATCCTCCGGTTCAGACTGAGATTATGACGGTTTCAATATGATATCTCCCATGTTCCAGGCAAGCTGCTGTATACAGCTGACACTTTATCAAGAGCTCCAGTTACTCAGGTAGCTAAAGATAGGGAAGACGTGGTGATGGAATCATTCCTTCATGCTATTGTGTCATCTCTTCCTGCAAACAGCTCAAAACTGGAGGAATACAAGCAAGGTCAAGAGAAGGATAGGATATGTGCACAGATTATTCGATTTTGTCAGTCAGAATGGCCAAACAAGTGTAACATTTCGAAGGAATTACAGCCATACTGGACTGTTAGAGCAGAGCTATCGTACATTGATAATTTGTTGCTATACAGAAATCGAATTGTGATACCTAAAGGTTTGCAAGACATAACTCTTCACAAAATTCATCAAGGTCACCAAGGAATCAGTAAATGTTACGAAAGAGTTGTGACAGCAGTCTGGTGGCCAGGAGTGATCAAAGACATGGAAGCCTTTATTAAGTCTTGCCCTCAGTGCTCTCAAAGGACCCCACTGACCTGTGAGCCCCTCCTGCCAACCACATTACCTAATCATCCTTGGGAAAGAGTAGCTGCTGATCTGTGCCAACTAAAAGGGTCAGTTTATCTAGTGGTGGCTGACTATTATTCTAGGTTTATTGAAGTGAAGCAAATGGCTTCAACCACAGCTACAAAGGTCATAGAAGCTCTGAAGTCTATATTTTCTAGACATGGAATTCCAGAAGTACTCATTTCAGATAATGGTCCTCAATTTGCAAGCAGTGAAATGCAGGAGTTCGCAGCTCAGTACAGATTTACTCATATTACAAGCAGCCCACTCTACCCCCAATCAAATGGATTAGCTGAGAGGTCAGTGAGGACTGTAAAGGGGCTGCTACAAGATGCAGAGGATCCTTACTTAGCTTTGTTAGCTTACAGAGCAACTCCTTTGCCATGGTGTCATTTTAGTCCTGCAGAGCTGCTAATGGGGCGTAGAATCAGAACAGAGGTACCACAGACGCAGGAGCAATTCAAACCTAAATGGCCTTACCTGGAGAAGTTTGAAAGAGCTGAGGAAAGACACAAGCTGAAGCAAAAACAGAATTTTGATAAGAGAAGAAGAGCTCGATCTCTACCAGCATTAGAAATGGATACTCTGGTATGGGTCAATTTTCAAAACCATCAGGTACCTGGAACCGTGGCTGATTCGGCTGATACCCCCCGATCTTACCACGTAAATATACCAACAGGTCAAGTGAGACGTAATAGAAGGGACCTTAGACCTCGTCAAGACTGTGGTCGTGACGCAATCGAGAGTGAACCTGAAGATCCTCCCAGTGGTATCAGGACCCGATCACGTACAGGTACCAGTCTACGTCCTCCTGATCGCCTCACATATTATCAGTAGGACTGATCTCAAAAGGGGAGATGTAATACATATGTGTATATTGCTTAATTAGTATTATTACTGTTTATCTAAAGTGGTTAATATAGTATATTTTATGTAACCATAGTAACAGGATATTTTCTATATAAACAGTTGTGTTGCTTATCATTTATCTTTCTTTTGTTCTCACAGTTTCTCTGATATTTATCTAATTTCTGTAACCATCGAATATATTACTATTAACCTTCCATTGAAACCTTTGTTTATTGTACACAAATGTTGTCCAATTCCATCTCTTGAAGTACCTATTCATGAAGAACTTTCACAGACAGGATATGATCGATTGCTAGAAACAAAGAGCTCCACCTTTGTGGACAAAAACTATCTAGTTTTACACTAGCATATTCAAGTAATTCCTCAGTAGCTTTTGATGACTTGTTGACTTTTTTAATTAATGACTTTGTCCGGCTATTAACTCTGGAGCACAAATTAAATTTTTTCACTACAAATTTCAGTGTATGTTCAAAACAGAGAATACATTTTAACTTGACAGAACTCTGAAATGCTCTTGTGTCATCCTCTTCACATATGTCAACATTATCTGCTGTTTTTAAATCAGCTTCATCAAAAAAAATATCTCCATCTTCTAAGTTCTCACCACTGCTGAGGTTAACTCCTTTTTTAATGTCTTTAGCAGCAGTAGTGGTAGAAGCACAGCAGTCATCTCAAAATGCTTTCACTATTTTGCTGCCATGATCAGTGATAACATCTATTGCCTGAGGAGAAAAGTGCCATTCTTCTAAACAGGTAATTATTAAATTGTGTATATTTTCACTGCAATGAGGATGGGGCATTTTTAGTAGAGAAAGTAAGATATGATGGCAGCCGTTGTCTTTCGAAGAAACAAAGTGGGCCATTATTCCAAGGTAAGAAGAGGATAATCCTTTATTTTACCAAACATGTGTGCATAAATGAATCTTGCATCATGATCAAGGTAACTTGTATCACTGACTTGACCTCAGACCAATAACTTTATTCATGACAACAGTTCTTCGTGGTAATTGGGATTGAGGTTCAGCAGCCTCCATTAAGCTACAAAGTTCTTAATTTTCAACAATACAATACGCATTATTGTTTATTGGTTGAGGCAACAAACACAGTCTGCTTTTGATTAAGTTTCTTACATTCTGGGCTTAGTTTTCTAGATGGTTTTGCATTTTCAAATGCACTCATTAGTGTACCTTGCTTTGTTGGCATATTAGGCATGCCTAATGCTCCCTTAACACAAGTATTTTTCTTTCACTTTTGAGACTTTATGCGCGCCCTCAAGAAAATTTTTGTAGTATGTTTTGTGTGACATTTCAAGATGTTGCTTCATGTTAGTTGTGAATTTACCAGCTAGTGCAGAGCCACAATATGTAAAGGTTCATCTCCAACCTTAACTTTAGAAGCAGATCTTTTCTTCTCATCATACTGAAAGTAGTGCCATACAGAGCTAGCTCTAGGATGACCACCTTTCAAAATCCTCCTATCTGATGGTGAAGGAGTAGTCGCGGGAATAGTAGATGGAGTAGTAAGGCTAGCCATGTCCGCTGAGATTTTTGAAAGGACACTCACTTCTAATTTCTAAATCGAATTTATAAGTTACAAAAAAGCCAGCCGAAATGGTGTCATTGTCTTTATAAGGTAGCAGGGGAGAATATGAATGATCTAAAGAAAGTTATGCCAGTAAATAAATGTCAGCCATTTTGTTTAAACTTTACTCGTGATTAAGAACAGTAGGAGTGGTAATGACACCTCTTTGTTCTAATTATTTTTATTAGTTTCAACTGTGCAATTTTAGGTTTAATTTTAGTTGATGTAACTCACAATTGAAGTTTTAGTTTTAGTTATGGTTAATTAGTATCAGTTTTAATTATACTTATTGCTATAAGCACTGAGGAATTTTAGTTTTAGTAAAGAAAAATTGCTCACTAAAGTCGGTTTTAGTTTTATAATAGATAAGGACCTGAAAAAGGATTGGAAATTTAGCCAATTAGCACCAAAAGTCTCACCTCAGTACTTGTTTACAACACTAAAGTGGGAAAGAAAACAGCCAGGTTATCAATGGGTGTGTCGATGAAGGGTGGGGCCAATTTTAGATAACTGAAGGTCATGTTTTTTAGTTGTTCAAAAGTGTAGTAGTAATTGTAACTAAAGATGAAGACTTTGATTTACCAAGTGAAAAGTCCCATAGAGCATGTATACTGGCTGAGAAGTTACTGAAGTTTACTAACAAGAGTGAGGCACCACTTAAAGCATTTGCTGAGGGTCTTTTGCTTGATATCCAAATGTGCTGTTCTCATCATAAGCCAGTATCAAAGCACATTTTCAAAAGACCTAATGTGAGAAAAGTACTATAAACTGAGTTTTAGTGACAATTTTGTAAGTTTGTGGATGAATGTAGCATTGCAATGACTTCCTCCGATTTTCTTTCTATATGTTGCAAGAATTCTTTTTAAAAGGGTTGTAAGTAGCCAATTTTGATTGGATTTGACTCAAAATGTCACCATAGTGCATCCCTTGACCTAAAAAAGAGATGCCCTTCGTTATGGTGGTGGGTATGTAGTGTTTTTCACAGAAGAAGGTTAAAAAGTCAGCTCATCCACTCAAAGAATCATTGCTGCTTTGTTTTCTGGACTTATTTAAGAGTTTCAGAAAACAATCTTTGATATAAGGAATTAGTATCTCATTCTCATCACATTTTAGGTTGCAATCCAAGTGAGACTACTGATAATAATGATGAGGTAATTAATCGTGGTGGACTCATTCTTATAGATGATTTTATGTAAGCAGAGTTCGTGTCCATTCAACAGCAATTTAGACATCACTTTACTTTAGACTATGCTAAGTTGTGAAATAAATGTATTAAAGATCATGCCTGTCAGAAAAGTATTCAAAATGAGGAGTCATTGTTCCATTGGGAAGTCGTATCCATTAATTGGAATTTAGAGTCACAGTGCGACGATTTTCATTTACAAGTATGTTTGTGAAAAAATTTAAGCAATCAGCAAGAGCGGATACAGAGGGAAATTAGAATGGTTTCTTAAAGGAGAGTGTGTGAGAAAAGCCCCGCACAGTGGAAAATTTTTTTGCCAAATTAAATATTCATAGTGGGCATGGCCAATTAATAAAGTTAATTTACGTTATTTATGTGGTTGGCCAATTGGTGTTAGTGAATCCCCACCCTTCACTGAGTTGACAATTTGAAAACATTATATGAAAAAGCATTAAGGTCATACATATTGTTAGTTGTTTAGTTAGTTATTTAGTTAATAAACAGGAAAAAACTTCAGTCATCACTGTTCAAAATGTTTACTATTTTAATCTTTCTTCAGTGCTTCATTGCAAAATCATCAACTATATCTGTAATGTTCACTGGAACATCCTGATGAATGTGCATAAGTGCAAGACCTGTTAAATGTTCATTTCCCATTGTATTTCTCAGATATGTCGCAAGAAGACGTAATGATGAAATACACCTTTCTGCTTCACCAGTTGCAATAGGCAACACCGCCAATATGCTTAGAAGATAAAATATGTTAGGGCAAAATTCTGAGCATGTTTCTTCTAAAGTGGCTGCTAAATTATTGGGGACATTAATTTTTTTTAAATTTATTTAGCTCGTTTGATGTTAACATCATTTGTTTGCCTGTTGATTTAAGATGTTGTTGTTTTATTACTACTAATTTAGCTTTCCAATTCTCTTCCCATTTTTCATACCCGAACTCAAGCTCAGCATGCAATGTGTGCTCAGAAGGCAATTAATCTGAGTATAAAGAAAAAAAGGGGTTAGAAGTGCTTCGAGGCAGTTTCAGTAAGCATATAAGCTGGAACAAAGAGGATTCCGGTGGCAATTTCACCTTGATAACGGCCAACTCTAGCTTTGATACTCTCTAACACTTCATCAAGCAGTGGTATAGTGACATTAATTCTGTAATAAACTTCAGCGCTGTCACTTCCAATAGTAGCATTGCTTTGGTGCCATTGCCTTGGACAAATTCGCAGCTGTTTCACTTATACACCAGTCTTACTGGCTAGCTCAGAACAAATTTTAAAACATTCGAGATAAAATTCATCTGCCTTGGCTCATGTACGCTCTAGAGTTGCAATAACAACTTGAACCTAATCATATGCCTTAACCATGTCAAGACCTTACTTTTGTAAACTAATTGTGATTGGTCTTGTAAATGCTAGTAGTTTTTGTGTCACTACAAGATTGATGAGAAATTCAAAATTAATACGCTTAAGTAGTGTATCAGCTTGTGAAGCTCTGTCTCTATTCCACTTCTTTGTTATTATTTTTAGCCATTGCTGTTAATGTATCTGTTAAGGCTTTAAAAAGATCTAATGTAACTTCTAATGCATTTAATCTTTCCACCCATCGTGTTCGACACAATGGGTAACAGTTCTTTTTTCAGTGAATCAGGATATGTCGCTACATTATCTTCAAATAACTTCTGCCTCTGAGGCAACTAATTAAAAAATTGGTTAAGCAAGTAATGTTGTCCATCATATTACTGATACTGGCAAATTGACATGATTGTGCAATTGATATGTTAAGCTTATGAGCAGCGCAATGGAAATATATTGCTTTGGGTGAACAGAATATTTATTGAGCAGCGCCTTAGGATACACTTTCTGCCACATTACCTGCTCCATCATAACCTTGTCCCCTGCACATACTAAAATGTAAGCCTAATTTTATGACAACTAACTTGAATAAAGATAGCCATTTGTTCTCCTGTAGTTCCCTGCTCACATTCAATAAAAGCCATAAATGACTCTTGAATGACTTTCCCACTGTTAACATAACGAATTATTAAGGGCATTTGCCCTTTATCCTTGCTCATCTCCAATTACAGAGAAAATCTTGCTGCCATAGCAATACTTTGTTTTGTATGTGATGCCCTATTAAAGACATTATTTCACTTTGTATTGTTTTATAACAATAAAGTGCATTTTTTGGGGCAGTAGCAAAGTGATCTTTAAGAATTTTATCAACACCAACACGAAAATGAAGTAACACCTTAAATTTGCCAGAATTTTTAGATTGTTCATCTTCCCTATGTCCTCGTAAGGCCTAATTTTGCTTACCACAAAGCAAAACTGTTTTTACAATTGTGTGTAACTTGTTTATTTTTGCCACATGACTAGCATTACTACATCCATTTGCTGATGAATACTTACAATGTGCTTTTGCATTACTTTCAAAAAATTGTCTTCTTTTAA